TTATCTTTCTTTTGTGCTTTTACATTTCAAATTTGACTTAGACTGTGAAAACAAACTATGCTGACTATTTTCATCTCAAATGCTCACCAAATCCCTCAGATTTTTCAAAATATTTAAAAAGTAATTTCCAGACTGAAGTCTCATTAAATCCTTTGCCCTTGCTCTGGGACAAAAGTTCAGAGAAGGTTCTGATGATTTTGATTTGGAAACTGTAAAACAAAAAATGGCAATGTGTGAATTGTTAATTTAAGTTTTATTGTAAGTCTGCCAAGCTTGTCTCCAGAAGTTTCCAATTAATATCCAAGAATGCTTAATAATATCCTGAATGTCATATTAAAGATTTTTTCTATTTTTATATTAAATATAATAAGGGGAAAAGCCCACTAGTGAAAATAAAAATAGAGCATGTCTTATTTTTGTAAAAGAAATGGCTCTGTGTTTACATGGCAGTAAATTAGCCCTCTAGAAGGAAACATCAGTCTCAGAGAAATCTTTCAGTGATGATTGTTTTCAGTATCTTTTTTTTTAAACAAATCAATTGAGAAGATGTGTGATTTTTATGAAGACACTCATTTTATTTTTGGTCCTTGGAATGTATAGGATTTTAGATAAGGGTTATTGAAGTGCTGTTCTACTTTTCTACAGTAGAAATTAAAACAACTTCTTATGGAGGCTAATCCCAACCCAAAATGCACTGACATTTTGTCTCCTCAACAAAACTGGTTTTTGCAAATTCCTGGAATTTTTCCCATGTGGAATTTCCCCACAAAATTTTAATGGCTAGAGGTTCAGGACAGGCAATGTTTAGTCCTGGGACAAGGACAGGCATAAGCTCCAGTATCTCATAAATCACCAAATCACCAGCTGAACAGCATATGCTCCATCCCCCTTTCTAATATTAGAGGGAACTTGTTTCTAGCTATGGTAGATTACAGTGTAGTGTAAACTGTAAATCTATATTGAGATTAAGTCTAAATCTAAACAAGATGAATATTGTAATTAATTCATAAATGTCAAACACCATAGAAGGGAGTTGGGATGATTTCACTCCTTTCTATATGCACACATCTTTTGTCTTCGGTATTTGTAATTCAGGTCCTTTTCCTTCAAAGATCATGATGAAAACTTTCAGGTGACAACCCAGGAGAAATATAAAGGGCCCAACTGAATGATTCCAGGGACTGTAATATGTTTTCCTCCTCTCTGATAATATATACTCACTGAAGGATGTAAGATTTCCTAAGAGTTTATATTGAAAAAAACCTTTGTATATGTGGTAAATTTCCACCATGGTATGTGGGAATGTAGATATTTTACATCTATTAGTATGACTCATGCATATAACTTTTTTCATGCTGCAGTGAGTTTTAATGGCACAATATAAATAGAAAGCCAATATGAATTTAGCCATACAACTCCCATTTTAAAAATGAGATTTTTTTAATGAGAGATGTGAAACTAAATACTCAAGTCAACTTTGAAATTTTCTCAAATTTCTACTCTACTTAATATGTAAAGAATTGGGTTTGGGGATATATCACTGAAATTATGAGTTCCTGAGGGGAGGAGGGGGTGTTGGTGGGACTCTAAACTGTTATGAAGCTGTGAGAGCCCTAAATTAGATTGCATTTTAATAGTATATCTTATGACAAAAATGTTCCATGTGTAATGAAAGTTTGTGGATTTGCCAGGGATATAGTTAATTTTAATTTCAGGCCCCACTTTGTTCCTTGAATGTGGTGTTTTTTCACAGTTACATATCACTATCCATTTTTAAAAACATCTTGGACTTCTGCTTTTGTACTTGCTACAGGCAGTGCTTGAGGTAGCCATTTCTTTCACATTTTGTGTTATAAAGTTTTGAAAAGCTTGCTCTCTGCTGTTGTGTTGTGCACCACTCAAGAGGCCCATCATCTTTTCCTTTGATTTAGAATCTGCCAGTTAATACTTTACTCTAGTTAATTTTATACCTAAAACTTCACCTCATAACACAAACAATCCATGTAATTTTTCAGAGGGCTGCACATTTATTTAATTTTCAAAACTCAGAGAGAACCTTAAACTCAATATGTTTTCAAACCCAGTGTAAATGCATTTTAGGGAAAATTGAGTTAAGATGAGTGACCAAGATCTCCTTGCTTATGTAGATGAAAGTACAGTATCCAAGAGACTGAGCAAGAGTTAAATTGCCTTACCCTATTGTTTAGGTTGGAAAACAGCTCTCAGAGATGGTTACTTAAATATTTTTCTACTCTTGACCATTTGAAAAAAGGTGCTTGAATCCATAAATAATTACACTTGTAATACAAACAGTTTTTTACTCAGTCTAGCTGAAAAGACAAACTGGTTTCCAAATCCCCAAATGGTTTTGTTGGGGTAATGGTGACTTAAATTGTGCTGCAAGTGTTACACTAACATTTTATTCAACCAGCTCTGTTTAGAAAGCATAACATTTAAAAGTGGTTTATTTAATAAAGCAATTTCTAGTCTTTGGCTAAGACGAGAATGTTCTAAAGCCATGAGCTTTAAGCTTATACTTGGAGTTGAGGAATATTGTTTTAACTTAATGTAGAAATTTGTTTTTAGTAAAACAGCAATAATTACAAACTGATCCTGAATGATTTTCAAATGGGAAAATCAAGATCATATAGTGAGTTTTTAAAGTACTTGTTTTATTGCGTGTTTTAAGCAAACACTGTATACAGTAGGCTACTCTAAATGAAAACTTCTTGGTTGTCTGTAAATGCAAAGTAATCAGTTTAATCCAACAAAAGGTATTGATTATACAGAAGCCTTAAACAAAACCCTACAAATTGGAGTCATAGAATCTCAGGGTTGGAAGGGACCTCAGGAGGTCATCTAGTCCAACCCCCTGCTTAAAGCAGGACCAATCCCCAGACAGATTTTTGCCCCAGATCCCTAAATGGCCCCCTCAAGGATTGAATTTACAACCCTGGGTTTAGCAGGCCAATGCTCAAACCACTGAGCTATCCCTCAGCTGGATGATTGAAAATAGAGGCATTGCTAGTGAGCAGAATGAATTATCATTTGAGGTGGAAGGATGGAGTGAATGGAACTGGGAACCGTTAGAAGGGCTTGGGTTGCTAGAAACTTCAGGAATGTACCCTGGACATTTGATGTGCTTCTGTGTAAAGCTGATTAGTTCATCTTATTTTTTCAGTGATCAGTCTTAATATTGCAATTACTAGGTGGTTGTTTCTCATTCTAACTGTAATAAGTATGAAAGCTGCTGATCAGTACTATAAATGGGTGGTTAGTATTTTAATTTTATTATAATAGTATTTTAAGTGTATGAATTTCTAACTCAGCATGCCTAAAGTTGAAGTAATTGGTAGGAAGCAATTAATTGAAAGTAATAAAACCAGATATCTAAATAGTGTCGAGAGTTTAGTAGCAGGAGAGAGGATTTATGCTCTTCTCAAAAAATTCAGAAAATCTATTTCTTCTAATTCTTCATGATCAAATGTGCCACTGCATAAAGATTTGCGTATTTAAGTGGAAGAGCAGAACACTGATTAATTTGATTCTGTGAATGAGATGGTTTCAAGGACATTGTTGTCATTGAAGTGTGGCTGCAATAACAACTTAAGTCCTTTTTCAGATCTTCTATCAGTGTTTCTCAAACTTTGGTATTGGTGACCCCTTGAACATAGCAAGCCTCTGATTGTGACCCCCCCCCCCCGCCGCCTATAAATTAAAAACACTTTTAAATGTATTTAACACCATTATAAATGCTGGACCCCCTCACGACCCCCCATGTAATAACTTTGCGACTCCCTGAGGGGTCCTGACCCCCTGTTCTATTAGCTCTTTAGCGTCAACTTTTTTCAAGAGAAGTCTCTGCCGTTTTTTTGGCAGTAGAAGATGAACATCAACTGATTGCCTTTTTTATTACACAAAATGAACTGTTTAAAGAAATGGCTGAAACTGTTTGAGATACAAGCTTCTGACTCTGCTACATTCAGTGTGATTTGTCATAATTCCTCTCTTGAGCAGTGGGTTTAAGACCCTATGTCTCTAGAATTTGTTCTTCGCTTTATTGCTTTGCATAGCATACTCCTTGTTTTTGTAACATGATACATGTTTTCTGTTTGAAAACTAGTCATGTTTGATAGTGCCAGCACATTTCTTGAACTGTGTGTGGAGGTTCAATGGGGGGAGTGACTAAAATGAATAATAGGTCAAAGGTGGGGTTTCAAAGTAAGTAACAGCTCAAAGATCAAACTTGTTTTAAACAGGGTGAATTGACTGATTAGAGTGACAAATTATTGCTGAGGTGATAATTTTCTTTAACTGCTGGGATAAGGAATATTTTTGTTTGTTTTTCATTTCTAGAAACCTTTCGTAATCTTGGGAAGATTATCCTTTTAACAAAAATTCTATCTCTGAGGCTTTTCTAATGCTACTTATGATATTCTTGGAATGACTTGGAACATTTTCGTTAATTCAATATACATTTCTTGTTTTGTATTTTAATATTTCATTAAAGAGTATACAACAAAATGGTTCATAACTAATAGTTTGCTGCCTTAATGATGGGTGCTTTTTGTGTTTCGAATGAACATTTCAAACAAGCTGCTTTTGTAGTGTTGAGTTTTTTATTGTCAGCACCAACTCAACAAGACTTTAGGCGATAACTGAGTTTAGAGTTCAAAGAAGCAACTCCAAGACTTGAGTATTCATCTTGGACACCATGAAATATATTAATATATAAAATTAATATACATTATATAAAATTTATCTATATCTATATAGATATTAATTTTAGAAACTTTTTTTAAAAGATACCAAAATCAAGCTTGTGTTTCTGAGATGGTGCAGAAATCCTAACAGGGTCACTTAATGTTTATGGTGAAGTTGTTTCTGGATCATTTTGTTTAGACTTGATTAAAACCATTCCTTGTACATAGTGAACTCTGGAAGCTTGTAGCTGGGATGTTATGTAACTGATATGTCCTTTTTTTTATTCTTCTTCATAGGGTCAGTATAGGCCATCTGACTTATTGTGTCCAGAGACATATGTCTGGGTACCCATTGAGCAATGCCTACCTACACTTGAGCACTCTAAATATTGTCGCTTCAACCAGGACTTAAAAGCAGGTAGGTTTATAATAAAAGGTAGGCCTGCAAATTATCTAACTTATTTTTATAATCTATCACTGTCATCATCTGCTGCTAAGATTTCCATAAATCCTTATATCTATTTTTATAAACATGAAAAAAGCACTTCCAGTAATCATAGCAAATAGAGAGTATGTCTTCAGCTGTCTATTAACAGTATGCAAGTGATGAAAATGAAAAGGTTTCAGGGTATAATACATTCCATAGAATATATGTAATTTAAAGTGAATATTTCCTAATGGCTTTATGTGAACATATACATTATTTATTCAGTCCATTTGATGAGCTAAATGACCAGTCTTTTCCTTCTTTAGAGTTCAGTCTGATGCAAATAAAGAAAAAGAAAAGAAGTCAGTTAGGATAAATGTCTTAAGCTGAAAAATTAAGTTAAAAGGGATCTCCAAATGCTTTTATTAACAAAAAAGATTCAGTATCTGTAGGGGATTATTTGATGAATACCTCAAATAGTGAAGGTAAGAGGAGCATTGTGCATATGACTAATCTTGACTTCACCTCGTTTTACCTCTTAGTGCCTGGATTACTGCTTTCACACAGTGATTCACCAGCATGTGCTGTTCTGATCAAACCCATCACTGTTTAGACTATAAAATAATAAAAAAGATTAAAAACAACATAATAGAATAAAAAAAAAGTACCTCTCCTGTAGACCAACTCCATGCTCCGGAAAGGTTCTGTGGGAGTATTGTAGCACGGGATAGTGCATGCATGAGAGAGGTGGCACTAGGACAGGAAGCCAGCACTGCATATCTTTGGGAGACCTCATTTAAAAAATAGTTTAAAATAAGGTGCTGAATACCCTTCTTTTTCACCACAAAGCTGTCTCCTCATATCCCCTGTGACGGGTTGGATCACAGAAACCCCCTTGGGAGCTGCCACCCGATGTGCCAAGACTACCCCTGCTTCTGTTTTCCCTGCCAGCTCAGGACTCCAGCCCCCTGTCTTGCTGAGCGAGACACTCCAGTCTGGCTTCAGACACAGACCCAGGGTTTGAATCACTTGTCCCAAAGCTGCAAGTTTACCTAAAAACAGCTCACAGGAGTGTGCTTGTCTTTAGCACTCAGATGCTCAACTCCTAATGGGGTCTAAACCCAGATAAATCCATTTTACCCTGCATAAAGCTTATGCAGGGCAAACTCATAAATTGTTCGCCCTCTATAACACTGATAGAGAGATATGCACAGCTGTTTGCTCCCCCAGGTATTAATACATACTCTGAGTAAATTACTAAATAAAAAGTGATTTTATTAAATACAGACAGTAGGATTTAAGTGCTTCAAAGTAGTAACAGACAGAACAAAGTAAGTCACAAGCAAAATAAAATAAAATGCGCAAATCTATGCCTAATCAAACTAAATACAGATAATCTCACCCTCAGAGATGCTTCAGTAAGTTTTTCTCAGACTGGACACCTTCCAGGCCTGGGCACAATTCTTTCCCCTGGTACAGCTCTTGTTCCAGCTTAGGTGTTATCTAAGGGATTCTCCATGATGGCTCCTCTCCCCCTCTCTTCTGTTCCACCCCTTTATATATCTTTTGCATAAGGCGGGAACCCTTTGTCCCTCTGGTTTCCACCCCCCCTCACTGGAAAAGCACCAGGTTAAAGATGGATTCCAGTTCAGGATCACATGTCACTGCAAGACTTCATTACTCACTTGCCAGCACACACATATACAGGAAGACTCACAGGTAAATACAGCCATCTGCAGACAATGGGAGTCGTCAAGATTCCAAACCATCCTTAATGGCCCACACTTTACATAATTACAATAGGCCCTCAGAGTTATGTTTTATATTTCTAGTTTTAGATACAAGAGTGGTACATTTCTACAAATAGGATGATCACACTCAGTAGATTATGAGCTTTGTAATGATACCTTACAAGAGACCTTTTGCATGAAGCATATCCCAGTTACATTATATTCACTTATATTTTTATAAAACCATATAGACTGCACAACGTCACATCGCCGTTCTATGAGGTCACCAATCATGGTACATTCAAAGATGTAAAACCATTAGAGTCTACATGGCTGGAATGGACAGCTTGATGTTTGAAACTGTGGTTCCCTAATGATATTCCGTTCTTTTTTTTCTGTGAGCATGAACAGTAATGGAATTAAATATTATTTGTCCTATTTTTTCCTTAATTCTTATTTAAAATAATAAGAATATTTCCATGTATTTTAGTGTTGGGGTTTTTAGTGTGTAGTTGATAGTTGAATAAAGAATTAGTGTTTCAATGGCAGTGTATGTGCAGTGAGGGGAAGGAAGGAGGACGTATTGTCCTTTCTCACAAGCTGTCTGGTTGAATGAAGGGGTTGCTTTGGACCTTAGAAGGAGCTACATTCAGCCCTGCTCATCAGTGGGAAGATTATGGCAACACAGGGAACTTTAAGAATTGGGCGTTCTAGAGGAATTCCCTCCTCCCACAGCCCATGTTAAGATGTGCTTTTTTTTTTTTTTTTGCTCCAGAGGTAGGTAATAAAGTATCTGAAAAGGGATATATCAATATCTAGACACTTAAATGCATTTGAAAAGAAACAAAAAAAAATGTGTGTTTTGTACAACTCCTGAGCTGAATTTTAACTTGAGGCAATTTGCAAAGTTAATTGTCTATAAAACTCCTGAAAAGTAGAGCTCATTATGGAAACCTGGGCAGGATCTTTTGTGTGTGTATAAATAATATACCCTTCCATTCATATTGGCACCAATTATATCTTCCTGTTTCATCAGCCCCTGTCTATTTAAGGGACATCATATGCAGTAGTAGCAGTACTAAGTGATACCATGTCACTGTTTCGCTCCCTACAAGTAAACAGTTGCAGGGAATAAAACAGTAGCATACGCAGCTTGTTTGAAAAGTGTTGTATTAGTGCAATATGTGCACTTACAGTAGGACCTGTTTATCATGCAAACATTTATTAAGCTATTATCATTGCAATAAGTTAGGTGTGTAATATGCTTTCTCACCATGCGATTACAGTAACATGCTTAATATAAAATGGACATTGAGACCACTGAAATTGAAATTTAATGCAGAATGCAGCAGCCCATTTATTAAAAAGGGTTTCTTCTTGGGAACACACAACACCAGTGCTCAGTGATCTCCATTGGCTGCCAATAAGTTTTTTTGGTGTATTTCATGGTATTGACCGTAATCTATGAAGTTCTAAATGACCTGGTATCTGAAAGACCTCCATTCTCCCTCTCCAGTACTGCCACAGTTGTGATCAGTAGAAGAGTGCAAAGTGCCTCTCTTGTAAAAATGAAGATTGCCGGTAGGGTATTTTCCATTAAGGGTTTTCTGCTTTGAAATTCGCTCCCTCTCCCCACCCATTGGTCCACCTGTTCCTAGATCAGTTTAACTGGGAAGCATGCTGCAAAAAATCTTTTTCTCCCGGACATTTGGGGAGAGGGCCAAGGCTTAGAGGAAGGTTATTATATTTGCCATGGTGGAGTGTATGTTTTAATTATCATTCTAATATGCTAGTGAATATTTATATATTCTTTGACTTTCTAAAAGAAAAACTAGTTTTTTGTATTTGCTGCATTATTAGCCATTACTGATTTGTGCTACTATTAACTAAAACGGGGTCGGCAACCTTTCAGAAGTGGTGTGCCGAGTCTTCATTTATTCACTCTGATTTAAGGTTTCGCGTGCCAGTAATACATTTTAATGTTTTTAGAAGGTCCCTTTCTATAAGTCTATAATATATAACTAAATTATTGTTGTATGTAAAGTAAATAAGGTTTTTAAAATGTTTAAGAAGCTTCATTTAAAATTAAAATGCAGAGCCCCCCGACCGGTGGCTAGGACCCGTGCAGTGTGAGTGCCACTGAAAATCAGTTCGCGTGCCGCCTTTGGCATGCGTGCCATAAGTTGCCTACCCCTGGACTAAATGATTTTATTGGATCACTAGCTGTAAACTCCTGTGCCTCCTTTTGCATTTATTTTGCACAGTTCCTGAATCTGAAACCTAGTGAGGTTATGGAATAAGGAATAAATCTACAGCAATGGGGTGGAGGGGGGAGGGGGGTTTCCTATGTTACCTGGTGAAGAGGGTGACAAATTCCAGTGCTTCTCCTCCCTCGGCATACCCTGATTGCTCTAAAAGTGGATACCAAGCATGTTACATGCAGTTCAAGAGAGCCAAGCCTACTCTTTCCAATGGGCTGCCTGCATTATGAAAGCTTATATCATTGCTTATATAATGGTTGCCATTAAAATGTCAGAATTTACCAAGACACCACACCTTCCCTTTCCTTAGAAAACTATTGTATGGTAGTTATTGGCATATGTTGAGAGGAAGGATTCCCCCAGTGGTAGGACCCAGAACACTTAGGTCTGCTACAGATTTCTTGTATGACTGGGCAAATCATTTAGTCTCTCTGTGACTCAGTTCCCCATCTGTAAAATGGGGATAGTAACACTTCCCTATGTCACAGGAGTGTTGATAAATACATTAAAGATTGTGAGGCTCTCAGATACCACAATAATAAGGACTATATAAATACCTAGACAGAAATGTTACCTTTTAAATATTTAATGCAGCCATTATGTTGGGTATTGTATAGGGCAGGGGTCGGCAACCTTTCAAAAGTGGTGTGCCGAGTCTTCATTTATTCACTCTAATTTAAGGTTTCGCGTGCCAGTAATACATATTAACGTTTTTAAAAGGTCTCTTTCTATAAGTCTATAATATATAACTAAACTATTGTTGTATGTAAAGTAAATAAGGTTTTTAAAATGTTTAAGCAGCTTCATTTAAAATTAAATTAAAATGCAGAGCCCCCCCAGACCGGTGGCCAGGACCCAGGCAGTGTGAGTACCACTGAAAATCAACTTGCGTGCCGCCTTCGGCACGTGTGCCATAGGTTGCCTACCCCTGGTATAGGGTGACCAGATGTCCCAATTTTATAGGGACAGTCCTGATTTTTGGGTCTTTTTCTTATTTAGG